CAGATAATAAAAACATTCTGTGTCGCATGCACACTATAATAAAAAAATACAAAAATATATTCAATCATGTTTAGACAATATGTATACATATTATAGCGTGTATTATACATATAATATATATGTAATGTTATATGTAATATATACAGGGTGAATCAGAATGAATTAGTTTTTTACTCCACGAGATAAATTGTCGACTAATTATAAAATAATTATAATATAAAAATAAATAGTATAAGAAGTAAGGTGAACTATTCCCACGGATGCGCAGTGGATTGAAAGTGGGGAGATCCGTCAACCAATCAATTTTTGAGCTCATTTACAGAAATTCACAGAGATTCATTCTACAAATAAGTACACTGCAAATTAGTACAATTTCTGATTGTTCGAATTTCGCCGTTATGCGCAATGATTCACCTTATCTAATTCCACTATGTAAAAACATACAGGGTGGATTAATGCATGTCAGTACCTTTTATTAGGTGAAGTGAGTTATTGACTCTAGCTATGATCATCTAAACGATTCATAGATGGGTGTCGCTAAGATCGCACATACGTGCTGAAATAGCATAGATAATTATTGGCTGCGTTCAGCAGAACACAACCGTTTTATGATTCTCTGCTGAGGACCATTCCTCTTGATTTAAAAGCATAACCCAATCAGCGCGAAGAAACTTCCAACAGTTGCAAAATAAACGTTCTGCTGAATGCATTATAAACTCCAAAATCCATCCATTATAAAATCATATCCGTTATAAACTCGAAAAAAATTCACTTTTTAAAATTCTTTTTTTGAATTTACGAAAGATGATCACAAATGTAGTTGAAAACTCACTTGCCATGGTAAAAGGTATAGATATGCATTAACATTTACCCTGTATAATTAGAGATGTGATAATTTTTCTCCTAGGGTAAAAAACTGATTTATTCTGATTCACCCATGCATATATACGTAAATATACACATATACAATGTATAATACATATATTATTCGTGTGTGTGTGTGTGTGTGTGTGTGTATCTTTTAAACATAATATTTAATTAATGTACATATAAAAAATTATTCAAGAATTAATTTGCAAATTACAGTAATTACTCTTCTTCTTATTATTATTATTATAGGACTTCCTATACTTCAACATTCATCGTTACTCACACATTCAGTTACTACAATTGTACTTTTAAAACACAATTCATATAGAAACAAAAAAATGAATATACAATTGCCCCTTTTTATAATTTTTTTAACTTATATAATATACATATAATAACAACTGCAAAAAAGCAGATGACTATCACGATTGTGTATAGCAGCAGTTCATAAATCTCTCTTACAATAAAATTCCCTTGGATCAGAAATAGAAATATTTTATGATAAAAATAACCTCCGTTAGCTGGTGATCCTTTGCTTCAATGGGATATCGCTCTCGGAATCGCTGGATTCGTTGAACTCGTTGATACACGCAGGGTCGTCTAATGATATAGACCTCTCTCTCTTTATCTCTGTCTTAATAATTGTCTTCTCCGCTTCATTCTAAATTCACATAAAAATAAATATAAATTTAGTTATATCGCTA